CTTTGAATAAACCAGCACGGTTATATTTTTTATATACTCAAGTGGTCTGAGTCGTCCCTCTGAGTTCCTGTTTTGAAAGAACCGGACGTGGCTTTATAATAGAATGAAGCCTTTAATAACAAGAGTTTCTAGGTCTGTGTTACATGTCCTCTGTAGCACTGTGACATCTGTGCACCAACCTTCATTTATGTAGAAGCAGATTCCACCTCCTCTCGTTTTCCCGGACAGCTCCTTTACACGATCCGTTCTGAACACCTGGAAACCCGGTATTCGAATCGCACTGTCTGCGATTGAGTCGCTGAGCCAGGTCTCCGTGAAGCACAAAGCAGCAGACCGTGCAAAGTCAGAGTTAGTCCTGTTGACGAGAAGAATTTCATCCATTTTGTTGACCAGGGAGCGGAGATTAGCCAGGTGAATAGATGGGAGTGAGGTCTGAGTTCCCCTCTGCCGTAACTGCACCAAAGCGCCAGAGCATTTTCCACGTCTGTGGCGTTTTTTCCAGGTCCCGTATATTGCTGCTGCGCCTCCGATCAGAATGTCCATACAGCATTCATTGTTCACAAAAAATGGAGGAAAATGGACTGTATTTTATATAGCGCTTTCTCACAGTGTGTCGCACTGGCCAAAGCGCTTTACAGAAGATCATACACCATTCACCCATTCACACACCGATGACGACAGGCTGCCATGCACCGGCGCGAGTCAAGCCACCGGGAGCAATTCGGGGTTCAGTGTCTTGCTCAGGGACACTTAGGGGAGACTGGGATTCAAACCACCAACTTGCTGGTCAGGAGACGACTGCCCTACCTCACGAGCCACAGCCATGAGGCAGTTAATAGGGACTTTATTCAAGAGTTCTCTGATCTCCTGGGTTTTATCTTGCCAAAGTTTGATAGGCTTTTAATCCTTGGTGATTTTAACATTCATATATGTTGCTCGGCTGACCCTTTGTCTAAAGACTTTTTAAGTATTATTGACTCTTTTAACCTCACCCAGTCGGTGCATAGCCCCAGTACTCAGCAGCAGTACTTCCTTAACAGCAGGTTACACACACCCCTACACCCATCGGGCCTGCTTAGACTGACATACAGAACAACCATTAAGGACAGAGAAAACATTGTTACTAACGTGCTCATCATCTGAAGATGACTGTAAAAAACCTAGGGGTAATGTTTGACAGTGACTTAAGATTCAACAAGCAGATCAACTCAGTCGTACAATCTAGTTTCACTTGAGGTTGCTAAGTAAAGTCAAGTCATTTCTTTCTTTCCTTTTTTTCTCCCCCAACACAATTTTATTGAATTTTTGGAGAGAACAAGTATAAAAACAGAGCTTATACACTGATGACGACAGGCTGCCATGCACATCTTCGTTCACAAAAATTGAAGGAAGGTAGTTTGGTGTGAGTTGTCCGATATTTAACAGTTCTTCTCTGGTAAAAGTAATCTGGGATGGGTTGCAAAAGACCAAGAAAACAAAGAAAAACAACAAACACATGAGAGCATGAGTAACTTCGGTCGCCATTGCTGTCTGCGCCGGAAGACTTTAGTTTGTGGTTTTTACTGTTGCTTTAACGCAGCACAAATAAGCAAAAGAGAGACAAAAAGAGAAACAAACTGACTGAGTGAGCTGCGACGTTGCACACTGAGGAGCAACATCTTGAAAGAGGGAATTTTTTTGCCTTTATATATTCACAAGTAAATTTTAGTTTTCAGCTAAAGAACATGGGCCACACTAGCAGAAATAGGCCCGGATGCATAAAGACAGCACATAGTGGAAGAGAAAAATGCCATCAGGTGTGGCGTGGACCTGGTTGAATCACACATGCATGCATGGCTTGACTCAAGCCATAGCAGTGGACATATGGAGAAGGCCTGATACAGGGATTTGTCAGCTGAGTACACTTGTCAGAACACTCGGATGGACAAGAGAGTACAAATGGATTGAAATAGCTGCTATGGTGCTGTGTTTGCAGTAGTTGAGTTACGACAACACACCAGTTTGACCAATCATAGGTGGCAACTGCTTGAGCAATAACAGACCAAAGCAGTAGGATCACTTCCCCCCCATTCAAGTTTCTGGATCTTGATTTAGTGCTACCTCCTGAGGGTGCTGAAAGTTAGCTCCAGGAACTCCTCTCGAAAGTAGGTGGGGGACAGGAAAACCGAAATGTAAAATCTCCTACTGGTGACTAAGTTCCTACAGTTGAAGTGGAAATGTAAGATGCACATCTATTCATTCAGTGGTGTAGTGCCTTTAGGCTATTAAGGCTGTCTTTCCACTGTCTGAACCTAACGAACGGTACCTCGTGCTTCTCTTAACTGTCACCTGGCATATCCTGCGGGGTTGAAGCAGACTGTCTCATATGGCTTTTCCACTATATTTTTCCCTGTGTCGGTCTCCGTTTAGAGGAGGGAGGGACTGGCTCCTCACACACACACACACACACACATACACACACACAGCTAAGCGGAGGATGTCGAGGATCAGTCTGTAGTGCAACAATCAGCCAGTAATGGAGACGGAATGGGCAGTTTGTCAAACAGCTGTTGGATAAGTAAAACAAAAGCTTGCAGAAATGTGACGTCTTCACCACTTTTCCCACGGTCTACTCATTGAAGTCCTTGTTTTACCTCGAATCCAGCAAAGTGTGTTTATATATTGTGTTTATAATGCTGGTTCAGGTGTGAAGACGCTGAAATTTAAACTATCATGGGCAACCGTTATGCAAACAACCATATTTTGAAATTTAGCTCCCAGAATGCACCTCCAAAGTGTGTAGAGGACAATGGAAGCAAATGCAGAACCTGTGAGGAGTGTTAAATGGCTCAACAGGTTTCAGTATGTTCTGATGCTGGAAAATTGCAAATATTATATTCATATTTAATTCTCTTCTAAAGTTCCTTAGTTGTTCTCCTCATGCTCTTACATTTTTTTCTCTGTTTGGCAGTTGGTTGGCGCGTACAGACCCAAAGGACGTGGCTCGGGTGGAGAGCAAGACTGTGATTGTGACCAAGAGCCAGAGAGACACCATCCCCATCCCAGCTGAAGGGGTAAAGAGCCAGCTGGGCAACTGGATGAGTGAGTCAGACTGGCAGAAAGCCAGAGAGGAGCGTTTCCCCAACTGCATGGCAGGTGCGTTGTTGGATGGAAATGAGTTTTCTCCATTGTTGCCAGGAGATGTCTGTCTTGAGCTTCCCTTTATTTTAAATAAAACTGACTTTCAATTTAGTACTGTCTTCTAAACATTAACCAACTATTTAAAAATGAATTGGCTGGGATGTCTTTACACAGTAACTTAACAGCAGGCTGATTAGCTGTTTTCACAGCTCCTCTCAAGCCTGTTTGGTCAGGTCTGGGAGTTTGGGTGTGGCCAGAAATGCGTGCTGTTGCACCTGTAAACAAACTCAGTGAGCAAGCCTAAGGAAGCTTTGGTGCAAAATACGTTGCTGGCATATTTGTAGTGTTGTGTGATTATATATGAAAGGTGATCTCGACATCCCATGTGTGGGCTGGAATTCCTGTCAGGCTACTTTGTGTGTTTATTGTCCTACTTCATCCTGGCACGCCATTGAATGGATGAGCACGCAGCTGTACACAGGATTATTATTTGCACATTTACACACAACGCTGATGTCACTCTGCCAAGGATGAGGGCTGGCTAGCATGTCATTCACCTGCACATCACTGCAGCAAGGGGAGTTAAACCGCTGAAAGTCAGCATACACAAGACTTTCAAGGGGTGTTAACACGTGTTCTGACCAAGGTGCCCCTAAGTTTGTAAGAAAAACATCAATGCTTTGGACATCAGAAATCTGAATTGGAGACTCACCGTAAATGTGGCAAAAATTAGATTCAGCGTTTCCTACAAAAATGCATGGTGTGTGCCCTTGACGTATAGTTTGCACTCTTCTTTGATGGTTTTATTGGTGTATTGCTGAAGTTCTTTGCACCTTACCGCCTCCAACTGTCAGTCAGTGGAGCAGCCAGAAACACGGCAGGAATGTGTGTGATGTTACCTGTATGTTTTGTGTGTGTTAAAAACAAAAGCAAAGCAGTGATCTGCTTGTAAAATCAGCCCTTCAAGAACCATGATTTTTCCAGCTAAAGTGCCTTCGTTTTTAGTATTATCTTATTGAAACAGTATTGCCTTTTGTTGCAAATTGTATTAACGTGTTGTTTATTATTCATTTTCCTCTCTGTAGGTCGAACCATGTATGTGATTCCCTTCAGTATGGGTCCTGTAGGCTCCGCTCTGAGTAAATATGGCGTCCAGGTACTGACAATAAGCCTGCTGGGTTATACTTAGCAATTTGTTCTTGTATAGATTAATTGATATAATTCATCATTTAATCTAATAAATTTTTATAACATTTAATGCTTAAAAATTGATATATCCATATATATACATTTATTGAATATCCAATTATTCAGTGAAAGTCTTAGGTAGTATATCAGTATAGTAAACGTTTGGTTCTCCTTTAAGGTGACAGACTCACCGTATGTTGTGGCCAGTATGGGAATCATGACGCGTATGGGAACACCGGTTTTAAAGAAACTGGCTGAAGGAGAGGAGTTTGTTCGCTGTCAACACTCTGTGGGACGACCTTTTCCACTCAGAGGTTCACATTCCAAGAGCTTGAAACAAGTTATATTACTGATTGTGTATAAGATTTTACAAATTCCTTCTTTTCTCTACTGGTCCTCTCCAGCCCCTCTGGTCAGCTCATGGCCCTGTAACCCAGAAAAGGTGTTGATATCTCACCTGCCAGACACGAGGCAGATCCTGTCCTTTGGCAGTGGCTATGGAGGAAACTCTCTCCTGGGGAAGAAGTGCTTTGCCCTTCGTATCGCCTCGCGCATCGCCAAGGATGAGGGCTGGTTAGCAGAGCACATGCTGGTGAGAATGAAGGATGGCACATTGTGCTTGCAACCCAGTGCCATAGAAATGCTCATAGGAAATGCCCATGATCCATTTTTCACTGCCTTTGAGTGCTATGAATCCATGAAAAGTTGAGTAAAAATTATAGAATGGTTTGTCCATTTTAACAAATGTATTCGCTGCCCTCTCCTCAGATTCTGGGTATCACAAACCCTCAGGGAGTGAAACGCTATGTGGCAGCAGCCTTCCCCAGTGCCTGTGGTAAAACTAACTTGGCCATGATGAAACCAGCTTTGCCAGGCTGGAAGATTGAGTGTGTGGGCGACGACATTGCATGGATGAAGTTTGACAGCCAAGGTGAGGAGGAGGAGTAGAGCACACACACAGAGCCTCACTCTGTCCCTCCATATGTAATGTATTAAATGTTTAACATCACCTTGATGATACGTCTGTAGGTAAACTGAGGGCTATCAACCCAGAGAATGGTTTTTTCGGCGTGGCTCCTGGCACCTCAGACAAGACCAACCCCAATGCTATGACCACCATTGCCAAAAACACCATTTTCACCAACGTTGGGGAGACCAGCGATGGAGGGGTGTGGTGGGAAGGACTTGACCCCCCTGGTGCTGGCGTCACACTCACAGACTGGCACGGCAAAACATGGAAGCAAGGTAATAAAGCATCCAGCTTAAAGTTGTGGTTATGCTTGCCGCATAGGAAATTGCACATGCGAACTGTGATGTCAGCAAAGACACAAAACCATTTATACATGCACTTGAGGCGTGCTTGGTTTACTGTGGTCTTCTCCTAAAAGGCAGGACTCACTGCTGAGGAAAAACAATCTACACTGCTAGAAGAGCAGTAGAAAAAGATATCTACAAGAAATATGTTTTGTAGCTAACTAGCCGGCTAGCTAGCCAGCAGATATCGAACCTACAGAATAGCTGAATGAATGTGTGGTAGACAACATGTTGTTGCTAGCTGGCTTTCTACCAAACCAGCACGCTGAGCCATAGATGTCCATATAGAGTCATATGAATGTTTAGAGAGACTCACCTGCTCACACACTCCTGCCCCCAGCTTGTCCATTACCTACTTTTCCAGCTTGGTACCATAGGCGGCATGCACCAACTTACAAAAATTGGGAGGTGTGCAACCAGCCAAAACGACACCAATGCGCACTGTGCGCCAGGAGTTGTGACGTCATATTTGGCATGCGTGTGAGAACAGCAAGTATAAACTATGTTTAAGAGTTCTGCTGGTTTACTGATATTTAGTGTTCGAGTTTGAATCATGTGTTTGTCTCTTTGACAGCAAAGACATCTCCTTACCAGCTCTGATTAATGTTGGACTTCACTTACCTGCAGACCAAAGAAATTGACTGTGGTATCATAATAGAGCAGTCTGTCAAAGACACACCACAGTGTATATTTGTATCCTGTTCATCGTGGAGATTTGGAAAAAAATCAAATTAGCATAAGAATACAAAGCTGAACAGCCATAGTGTATACAGTGCCATCTAATGCAATACCAAAGCAACACGTTTAGGATGAACCACCCAGATAGCAGACAAACTTCGTGGCGGATCCACCAAGGAGGTATCATGGCCTCCACAACGTATCCAAAAAACTGGTCCGGATCAGAGTCCACTTGCACACTGCGGCAGACCTGCAAAGGATATGGAGCACAGATCATCTGCCCCAGACTCATTTCAAATCCATTATTTAAAATTGCTTATCTGACCAGAATCATGTATAGAAATATCTAAAATCTACTTTATGAACATTTTGGCTGTTCTATAATTACTTGAATAACCTGGTAACCTGTCTGAGGAAATGAGCACGTATGATGACTTCAGAACAACTGCTTCATTAAAATCAATAAAACACTCAGCATCAGCGTCAGACATCTTGCAGTTACATACTTTTACTATAAATCAAATCAAATCAAATTTTATTTGTATAGGGCCAAATCACAACAAAGGTCATCTCAGGACACTTTAAAAAGTAAGGTCTAGACCTTACTGTTATTTCTATTATTACATAGGGAAAACCCAACAAATCCCCCTTGAGAAAGCACTTGGCGACAGTGGGGAGGAAAAACTCCCTTTAATGGAAGAAACCTCCAACAGACCCCGGCTCTTGGTGAGCGGCCTTCTGCCTCGACCGGTCGGGGTGAGTGACTAGAGGAAAGAGAATGAAGAACAGGGGCCTATTGCACAAAACTAGGATAAGGGATTAAGCCGGGATATCTTGGTGATCCTGGCTCAATTTATCCGTGATCCGGTTGCACTAAAGCTGGATTAGATGGCGGTAGGATGTTATGGTATAAATTACCATGGAGATTTATTCTGTGGAGCTAGCCTGCTCCAGACCAGGCTAAATTCAAGGATTTATTTTATCTCATCCCTTATGTCAGTCAGCAGTCACCACAAACGGAAACCAATAGTTATTTCACTGCACACTATACATTGTTATCACATATAATTAGACCCACTGTCATTGTTTAAACGTTTGTGATCATTAATTTCAATCATTTTGGATAAATGATGACTTTTAGATGATGTTGCTATCATTAGATAATTTACAGTTTCCCATAGACTATAAGGCTATATATAAAATGATAGAATATTAGGGCCACAGAGGGAGAAAAAAGAAAATTCACAGACTTCGATAATGAAGTCTTTAATAATATTGTAACCCGTTGTTTTAGAGGAGGACAGTTGTTAAAATGACAGCTGTGGGGCATTTCGTGGAATTGTTCTTCAGTATGGTTCCACAATCAAGGACATACTTAATCTTTTGGCACATCAGCATCACATTGTCATATGTATCAGGACTGTAAAAACAATATGCATCTTTTAGGGAAAAAAGAACCAGCCTCATAAATGTATGACTTTTTCCTTCTTCCTTAGTGTGGCCTTAATACTCTGTCATATAAAATACACATTCCATATAAATATAAAAACACAAAGTGTAACATTATGTTCCTTTATTGAATAAGGATAAAACAAAGCAGGTAAACCATCAGCTCCTTTCAAAACTGAAGTCACACAGTGACTCTACAAGATGGAAAGCACAGAATCAAAGCATATTATACAACAAAAGGATAAATACACATTCAAAAGGTCTGTATATAACACACCCCGCATGTCTGCACACTGAAATAAATGCAGGACAAATCCATACAAATCAACTGAACAGACAAATGAATGGATACAGCACAAACATCATAAGAGGCCAAATCAATAATACAGTGCCTTGCGAAAGTATTCGGCCCCCTTGAACTTTGCGACCTTTTGCCACATTTCAGGCTTCAAACATAAAGATATAAAACTGTAATTTTTTGCGAAGAATCAACAACAAGTGGGACACAATCATGAAGTGGAACGAAATTTATTGGATATGTCAAACTTTTTTAACAAATAAAAAACTGAAAAATTGGGCGTGCAAAATTATTCAACCCCCTTAAGTTAATACGTTGTAGCGCCACCTTTTGCTGCGATTACAGCTGTAAATCGCTTGGGGTATGTCTCTATCAGTTTTGCACATCGAGAGACTGAAATTTTTGCCCATGCCTCCTTGCAAAACAGCTCGAGCTCAGTGAGGTTGGATGGAGAGCATTTGTGAACAGCAGTTTTCAGTTCTTTCCACAGATTCTCGATTGGATTCAGGTCTGGACATTGACTTGGCCATTCTAACACCTGGATATGTTTATTTGTGAACCATTCCATTGTAGATTTTGCTTTATGTTTTGGATCATTGTCTTGTTGGAAGACAAATCTCCGTCCCAGTCTCAGGTCTTTTGCAGACTCCATCAGGTTTCCTTCCAGAATGGTCCTGTATTTGGCTCCATCCATCTTCCCATCAATTTGAACCATCTTCCCTGTCC